TAAGAGGATAGTTTAAAAAAGGAAGCAAAGAATACAGTATATGAGTTATACTGAAGTCACAACTTCATTTATGAAAAGAGGTTTGATCCAAAACTCAGTGCAAGTGGCAAAGTTGACCGTCGCTGTACAGTATCTGTGAGAAAATCAGAATTAAATCTATGTTGCTCAACTGGCACCAAAAAAAGACAGCTGAGCCCCAAATGCTGTCTATATTAAAAATCTCGAATAAGCTTCCAACATTAAAACTATATAAATAAGTACAAACTGAATGATATTGCTGAACTGTGAACTTAGAGAAGTGAGGGGGGGAATATTTAAAACCATTACAAACCATTTTGATCATCAAGGACAAAAAAAAGGAATGTTGGAACTTGTTTATACAATAAAAATGAAAAGGTTCCAGTTGTTTTTTTTAATGAGAAAAAATTGAGGCATGCAGGGATTTTTTTTGCATATGGATATATATATTTTATATACTATATATAGTATGTACAGTTTAGCTATAAAACTTTGATGTGTAAAGAAGCTGTCTTCAATGAAAAATTGAACATTCAGAGGAAATTCCTGAGTTAGGGTTTTGTGACATGGGCCACTGAGAAAAAAAGCTGCGTTTGGGTCCTCAGAGGTGTTATGTCCATCCCTGTTGAATATTGAAATTAAAATACAATAACAACAACAATAACAATAAAAAAGGACAGTGTTGCCACTGTTTTTGTTCCCCTGACTGAACAAGGGATATAGCACCATAGTGAAGAAGATAATCAATCTCCTGCTTGTAGAGAGGAGGGAATACTTGAAAACAGTATTGCTGCTAAGACCACTGTAGTGTGCACCAAATATGTTCTTCCATCTAGACAACAAACCAACGTGGCCACTGGCTGACTGAAGGTGTGATGTTAAAGGTTTACCAGCCACTAGGTGTACTCCTTCCTAGGCTGCTCATCTGTTGTACATTTATCAGTCATTTCCTGACAGAAGTCTACTGTCACTGTTTGGTTATTCTGCTCTAGAGGGAGCTCCTGCTCAGAGTAAGTACCTTGGTCAGCTCCATCCAGTACTCTTGTTGCAACGCACTTGTCGGAAATGTTGTTAGGCAGCCAGTGAGCTCCTAACTGCTGCACAGGGCTTTGCTCTGAACAGCACTGCAAGCCTTCCCCGACACACTGGGATGTTAGTAAGTTTTGCTCCACGCTGGCTGGCGAAGAGTTGATACTGACTGCTGTTGGTAGATCCATAGGCCTGAGAAGAGGGCAGTATCGGTGCAGGTCTTGGATCTGTTCGGAGCTCTGCATATCCCTACACACTTCTTGGGAAAGACAGGAGAAATTATCTAACAGCTCCCCCATGCATGCCTTCAGCTGGTTCCTTTCTGACAGAAGTTTTTCCTTCTCACAAAC